TGCTCAATCTTGGCAGTCTCTGTCATGGGGATTAGTCCAGCGTACTTCATAAACCTGTCTACTATGACGTAAACAAACTGTGCGATGAAAGTATGCAAAACATCTCAACCGAGATCCCCCTGACAGAGAATGCACTTGGCGTAAACAAATTTGGGTCCCAGGGGCCCTTCTTGCTTGGGCCCAATCCCACAAGGTACCTAAGGGTCCCACATAGGCTGTGACCGAGTCCAAACCAAGAGGAGTCCCGCATGGACCTACTTTTTGCCTCTGCTGAACTGAAAAGAAAAAACGAATTTCAACCAACAATGGAGAATTGACTGGTGTATAAGGTGCGAGCCAACCCACGGATTGTCCGATAAAAGTATGCAAAACATCTCAGTCAAGATACACTCGGCAAAGAATGAACTTTACGTCAACAGATTGGGTCTAAGGGGGCCTTCTTGCTTGGGCTCGATCCCACTTGGTACCTAAGGGTCCCACGTAGGCTGTGACCGAGTCCAAACCACGAGGAGTCCCGCATGGACCTACTTTCTGCCTCTACCGAATTGGGAAAAAAAAACAAATTTCAACCTTAGAGACAACCTACGCTACAACCGTTCATATATAAAAAGACGAAACATTGTAGAAAGATCTGGCGTCCAAAGGAAGATACCTCATCTCTTCATCCATCAGGTGAGAAATCAGTTTGCATACTTGTACATACAATCAAGACCACATAGGAGAAGGAAAGGAAACCCAAAATTACCCCAACAGCACAATTAACACCATGCACACACACATGGGCATTCCATAGGTGCACGACACTCACCTCAGTGGCTTGAGCTTCGAGATGAAATAGAACGCACCCCCCCCCCTCTCTCATATACTCCTCCTTACCCCTTCAACGCTACCCCTACAGTCGTGTCCTATCTACTAGGGGGGTCTGACTCCAGCACCAAATTGCAACGATGGATCCCCCGCCGATGTTGAAGATCAAAGTAGCAACTTGCAGTCCGTAGATGCAGAATGGCTACTTCCCTCAAGCTCGCCTCCTTGAGGGAAGTCCTTTTTAAGTCGCCAAGTGTCTCCCCTTAGGTCAGATTCCAGCTGCGAGTGCCTCTCACGGTCCCCTCTTCCAAATTGCCACACAAAGTCTTCATGAAGTGTCTCGCCAGCCCAATCTTACACTCAAGCAACCTGGTCAGGTCCAACGTCGACCCAACACGACCAGGTGGGGGCAGCTTCCCCATACCACGCTGCCCCACTTCTGACTTCGGGCCAGCCCTAACCCTAAGTGGCAGCCCTAACCACTTAGTTTAGTGGTTGGGTGGCAAAGCCGCTCTCTTACCAATGTTACGATCCTGGCCAATTTCAAAGTACATATTCACGAGATAGGACAATGTCATGAACGAACCTGAGAGGAGAGAGAGGTAGAGAAGAAGAACAAAAAGAAAGAAGAACATGTACACCAGCAAAGACCAATGGTAATCCCCTTCTCCTCACCAACCAAAGTCCTTTTCTCCTCCACTCTTATACAAATGCAAGGAAAATGAGCGATAGCGAAATGACAGAATTCCATAATGCAAAATCACATTGAAAGTCGGAACATTGAAGGTTGTCCAGAAAGCAAACAAGCACTGATATTCCACCAACGGAGAACCAAAGCACTCAACGCAAATGTCAATGAGAGCATACTCTTGCCACCACTGTATCTAGAGTCCTTCCTCCTACTTGGCCCTCGGAGACTACGATCACACAACTACTACCCAACCTACGAATTGGCAATGCAACCTGTTGACCAGCAGCAACAACCAAAGTACATGACAATGTCGGCCATGTACACCATCGCCAAGACCAGGTACATGCCCTCATATCATCATCATCATCTCTTTCTATTTCTCCCTTGTCTTTTTCGCCACGTCTTCCTCCTCCTACACGAAGACCACCACCACCTCCATTGGCTATGTCCAAGCCAAGCCCGACTACGGGGGGGTGGGTATGGCACTACCCTCAACAACGCCCTACACCCTGCACGTCCGCGCACGCGCACATGCACTTATGCTAGCAGCTAGCACCAGCACGCGAGTGCTCGCTCCAGCAGCGTTGCTGCCCGCTCTACCAAGTAGCCGACTCCCAGCACCGTAGCCCAACCCCTTCCTATATGAAAAGTGGCGGGGCGTGTTGCCTTCCACTTGCCTCGTGAGGCCAGTTTCCGGCCAAAGTGTCTGCGCCCAGGCCCGTTCCGACAGTGGCCTGGGACCAAATTGGTTAGGGATGCCCAACCACCTAGGCAGAAACGTGAGGTTTTCCCTGCTTTCGCCACGATGCTCGAAGAGCCTGGAAGGCTCACAAATATTTTTGATTCTCACGAGCCAGGAGGAATATAACCACCTGGCACGTGGCAACTGTCTGGCGCCCAACAAAACTTGCGAAAATTGATAAATCCAGGGCTCATTGTGATTTAGGGGCCGGCCTTCACTTAGGGCGGGCAAGTGTTTATTGCAGGGCCTTATGCAGGTATGCCGAGGGGTTAAATCCTCGCACTCCCTTCTCCTCTACTTCGATAGTCCTCTGAGAAGTCTTATACAACGGGCTCCTTCCCTTTTAAATTTCTTTCATAACTTGAGATAATATGGGGAGCAGTCCTCATTAACTCCTCTTGTGAGTGTGTACGAAGGTGACCAGGGATGTGAATGACATATGATGGGCCATCTTGTTGATCTCCTACTATATCTAAAATTTCCCACGGTCCAAAGTATTGTGGCATCAGTTTACATAAGATTCCTCATTCCCGTCCCAACTCAGATGACTTTACCCAAGACTCGTTCACCTATCTGGAACGTAGAGGATCGTATGTGTTTGTTCTCGGATGCAACCATGGCATCCTAGGCTTTCTTGATGTGCTCAACAGCCTGCGGCAGCATCTGATCATACCTGACCACAAACTCTATAATGCCAGACGTTGCAGTTGGCTGATTTTCAGGCAACAGGAAGTCAAGAGCAGATCTGGGCTTTCAACCAAGATGCAGCTGGTTGGGAGGTATGCCAATAGTGTTATGCACAACATTATTGTACAAGCGACTTCTCATCCCACTCATCCTGATGTAATGCCGAAGCAAGTGCTGCACTACCCGACTCATCTGCTCGGCCTGGCCATTAGACTCAAGGTGGTTCCTTGATGTCACTTGCAGTCGGGTGCCCATTTGTCGGGATGTACTTTGCCACAACTCGCTTGTGAGTCTGACATCCTTGTCACAGGGAGACTGAAGTCTCGTATCCCTTGGTGAAGATGTGACGTTTACCACTCTTACTCGTCACAAGGGTATCCATGAAGTTGAAGTCACATATCCCTTGGGGAAGATGTGACGTTTACCACTCTTACTCGTCACAAGGGTATCCATGAAGTCCATGGACACAATCTGACCAGAGCACCAACGGAGGGCAAGGGCCTTCATAAGCCCGAGTGTTGCCTGCGTTTGTGGCTTGTCCTGTTGACAAACCTGGCAAGTCTCTACATATTTATTCGCATCATCCATCATTGTGGGCCACCAAAAACGCTGCACTAAATTTGTTGCTGTCTTTTTGTTACCGAAACGTCCGATTGCATCATGGCATTCACCTAAAAATAATTTATGCAAAGACTCTCTATTCGGGACACAAACGTTTATTCCCTGCCTTCTCAAGGAACCGCAAGCCATCAACCACCACAAACTCATCAGAAGTAGCTTTGTCTTTAGCTTCCAGTTTGTGAATGATCTCAAACATGACCGCGTCCTCTTGATAGGCTTCCACCATAGATCGAGATACATTGCCAGGCATATCTTCGTCACTGAAGCGCCTAGATCGTCTGCCATATGCGATAGTGCGTCAACTTGTACTCTTCCTTCAGAGGGTTGAGCTTGAAGTCGTACGTATCTTTGACTTCAATCCAACTCTTAAGTGTGTCGGAGAGCACTAACTGTATCTTAATCCAACGTAGTGTCTCATGGTCAGATCTCACATAAAATAATCTACCTAGGAGGTAGTGCCTCCAATGGACCAGCGCTCTATAAAGCGCATAGAGCTCTAGCTCATGCGTGGACGTAGCTAGTTTTTGAGATGGCATTTCTTGCTCAATCCACCTCTTCAGTGCGTCGGAGAGCACTGACTTTATCTTAATCCAACGTAGTGTCTCATGGTCAGATCTCACATAAAAGAATCTGCCTAGGAGGTAGTGCCTCCAATGGACCAGCGCTCTATAGAGCGCATAGAGCTTTAGCTCATGTGTGGACTGAGCTAGTTTTTGAGATGGCATCTTCTTGCTCAGGTACTCGATCAGCCGCAACTTTTTCCCCTCCTCCTGTGCAAGGACAACGCCTATGCCATATTGGTTGGCGTACGTGGTCACAACAAAGGGCAGTTCCGGATCCGGAAGTTTGAGGACTTCGTAGTGCATCAGGGCATACTTCAATCTCTTGAAGGCTGCCTCAAAGTCTTCGGTCCACTCCCATGGGGTGTCAAGGTGTGTGACGTCAGTAAGAGTGGAGGCTACGGTAAATAGTTATGCACGAACGGGCGGTAGTAGCCCGTCATCCCCAAGAATGACCTCAACTCATTCTTAGACTGAGGTTTGGGGCAGCCACGTATGCTGGCCACTTTTGTATCATCCGGCCTCAATCCATCCGCAGAAATCTCATGACCCAGATACAAGATCTTGGTGCGACCAAGCTGTTTTCCAAGTTACTGGTGCTTTCTTAGGAGCCCTAGCACTGTTTTCACATGCTCAAAGTGCTCCTTTACAATCCTACTAAAAATAAGGATATCGTCGAAGTACACGACGATAAACTTGTCTAAGTAGTCATGTAAGATTCGGTTCATTGTGTGCTGGAACATCCCAGGAACATTGCAATACCAAAGGGCATAACTACAAACTCGAACAGACCGTACCTGGTCCGAAAAGTGGTTTTGTGTTGATCCTCAGGTCTACCTTCCTCGCGATTGTAATAGTTATAGAAAGATGACGCGCACATACAACAGTCTACTAGACTTGAACTTCTGCAGCCTTACGGTCATTCCATTTGGCAACTTGTGAATCATCACATTCCTATCCAAATCGAACTGAGGCTTAGCAGCCTCGATGTAGTACATGCCTCGGAACATGTCAAACTTGAACTTCTGCAGCCTTACGGTCATTCCATTTGGCAACTTGTGAATCATCACATTCCTATCCAAATCGAACTGAGGCTTAGCAGCCTCGATGTAGTACATGCCTCGGAACATGTCAAACTTGAACTTCTGCAGCCTTACGGTCCTTCCATTTGGCAACTTGTGAATCATCACCTTCCTATCCAAATCGAACTGAGGCTTAGCAGCCTCGAGGTAGTACATGCCTCGGAACATGTCAAATGACATCTCGCTGAATAGGAACGAGATCTTGTGTATCAGTTCCGCTCCTCCATGGGAAAAGATACAAACTTCGTCCTTGACATAGTCTCTGACTATCATGACGTGCTTGTTGGCTAAGGTGGATGTTATAGACCTGCCAAGCTGCTTGCACTTGGTCCCCTAAGCGCAGCCTATTCACACAAGCACAACTAACGAAACTTCTCGTAGAACCTATGTTTGCGAAGAAACCAACCTTTCAGCCACCTACATTGACTTCTACCCACAAAATGTGGCCCCTTTGGACCTTTGTTCAAAATGCCAAGGACTCAGACACATCCACTAAACAAAGTATCAATTGGTTTGGAGCAGAGAGCGCAAATGGGTAACCGTTGCCCGTACCCGGCCGTACCCAACTGTAACCGCCAGTTAGGGGCGGGTATGGGTACCCCTTCCAGAGGGGGAGTTGGGTATGGGCAGACACAAACAAAAGGTGGTGGTTGTTAGGGCGGGCACAGTTGCCCTTTTTGGAGATCATGGCTGGGTAGGGGCAGGTAGGGGTACGAGTAAAAAAAATGAATTGGGTATGGGCGGCCAGAAAAAAACAATAGACGGGTATGGGCAGGTACGGGTGACCAAAATAAAAAAGGGGTGGGTACGGGCTGGTAGAGGTTCCCATTGGATAACCGTGGTATACCCGATGTGAGTCTTGTAGCTTTGTAGGCTTTGTATTTTCGCTCATGCGTGACACTTTTCTCATATTCCAAATTTCTCGCTTTCCCATGAAGCAAACGTTTTTTCTCACAAGGGTGAATTTTATCTCTTCATTTATTATTCTTTGTTTTTTTAATTTTAGACTATTTTCATACTTGTGTAACCCTATGTATGTAATATTTATGTGTGTCGCTCTGTGTTGTGTGTGCATGTGTGTGCGAGTGTACGTGTGTGTAACAAGGCTTGTACACTAGCACCTCGACTGGGGCTGAATGGGGGAGCCCATTCAGCGTCAGTGCCCATGTTACGGACTCTGCTAGGGCTCAATCCCTGGTCTATCTTTTTGTTGTTTCGGCTGCATCCCGTTTTCGGCCTCGCACCCTTTTTCCAAACCCCTCCTTTGGTACTGTAGGATTTTGGACAACTGGCGCCATGCTGCAATTCGGGCGCCACTTTCAAATTCCGCATTTTTCAGTTCTGCCCTTGGGGCTTTGCAGATTTGCCCCCGGTACTGTACCGGACACCCGGTACATATACCGATGCCCCGTACAGTACGGGGAGCAGTCTCATACCAGTTTTGAGCTGCTGTACTCGTACTCAGTGGGACTTGCTCCAGTTCGGCATTCAGAATCCAAGACTTCGACTTTGTGTCCTTGCCATTGTGTCTGCATCCGACCCTCAGTCGTGTCAAGTGAGTGTGTGTGTGTGTTTGCTCTCACTCTCTCTCTCTCCCTCTCCTCTCCCTCGGCTCTCCCTGTCTCCCTCAGCCTCGTGCTCGTTACACTGGATCGGAGCAGTTCGCTCCCCCGTCGCTCCCTCAATTCGGGCGCCACTTTCAAATTCCACATTTTTCAATTCTGCCCTTGGGGCTTTGCAGATTTTCCCCCGGTACTGTACCGGACACCCGGTACTTATACCGATGCCCCGTACAGTACGGGGACCAGTCTTGTACCAGTTTTGAGCTGCTGTACTCGTACTCAGTGGGACTTGCTCCAGTTCGGCATTCAGAATCCAAGACTTCGACTTTGTGTCCTTGCCACTGTGTCTGCGTCTGACCCTCAGTCGTGTCGAGTGAGTGTGTGTGTGTGTTTGCTCTCACTCTCTCTCTCTCCCTCTCCTCTCCCTCGGCTCTCCCTGTCTCCCTCAACCTTGCGCTCGTTACACTAGTATCGGAGCAGTTCGCTCCCCCGTCGCTCCCGTCACCCTCGCCGTTGCCATGATCTTCGTTGTTGCCTAGATCCCCGTCGTCGTCACTGACAGGTAAGCAACAAATTTTATTTATTTATTTTCTTCTTCTTCTTCTTCATATCTTCTTCTCCTCCTCCGATTCCCCCCC